TCTCTCTTTTCTTGGTTAAGGTTCTGAGTCCAGCATTTTGATTGGGGAGATCTCCACAGAAACTATGTCTGAGGTGTGATCAAACCAGATTCTTGTATGTGCTAGCAAGTACAGAGCCCGGCACAGTCCATCGCCCTGATCAGCTGGTGGTTGCAATTGCTGGGTTGGTTCTGTTTTCACTCCTGACTTCCACTGGAACCAATGGGTGGGTGTTGCAGTCCAGCCTGGTTCTGCCCAGCACATACTTGGCCCTCACATAAACCAGTGGGAGCTGCAGAGGCTGGTGGATTCTTACCCTGCATCTAGGAGACTCAGGTTCAATTCTAGACTCCTGGCTTCAGCCAGCCTAGCTGTTTGGAGTGATCCAGCAGATAAAGAGTATCTTTCTTTGTCTATTTTCAATAAATAAAAATATTGTTTTTTAAAAAGAACAGTGGAATCATGAGTTCTGAATTTGTGTAATGATTTCCACCACTAAAGTATATGACTTCAAGTATTTTGCTTTCCTGGGCTTCCATTTTTCTCTGTAAAATGTGGGAACAGTTAGAGGAAAGGAATTCTCACATTTGTATTTGATCATCGTTGAGATGGAATCCTAATGTATTAGTTTCATAATCAGCTCTGTAACTAACTAGGTGAACAAAATATCACTAAGCATCCTTGGGTCTATTTTCCACCTTTGTTAAATAAAAACAATTAATAAAGACTATCCAGGCTCTGTTCCCAGTCTGAGAAATGTCAACATTTTTTAAAGATGCATTCTTTCATTTATTTATTTCAGGGCTGATTGACACACATAGAGGGGAAGAGACAGAATGTAGATCTGCCATCTTCTGGTTCACTCCTTAAATGGCTGCAGCAGCTGAAGATGGTCAAGGCTGCAACCGACAGCCTAGTGCTCCATGGGAGACTCAAAAGTCTCCCATGAGGGTAGGAAGGCACTCTCCTGCTCTCCCCAGTGCATTAGCAGGGAGCTGGGTCAGAGTCAGAGCAGCCAGGACTCAAACCAGTGCTCTAGCAGGGGATGCCAGCATTGACACATGCTGATGCGTACAGCTGAAATGCTTTGTTACCTTGCAAGTCAAATCTAAGAAACAAAAGCAACCTCTGCACACCAAACTCATGCATTGTTTTTGTGATACAGGGAAATGCAATCAAATGCCATCAGGTTATTTAAGGAGAAGGGAGATCATCGTTGTTTTCATCTTGAAGTAGAATGAAATTCGGAGTCATAAAATCAGTTATTCTTTTTAAGAATCATATACTAAATTCCTAATGTAAAACACACACACACACACACACACACACACACACACACACACACACACACACACACACACAGTGTGGTGAAACCAGAACCATAGGAACTTTGGTGAACAGATTGTCTTTCTTCTCTACACCCATCTTCACACAAAGTCAGAATTCCAGCACCTTCTTCCCTTACTTTTTCCAAAGCCATCTGAACTACTCCATTCTTGAAAATCCCAGCTTTCTCCCAAGTATTTTGCAAACGGAATGCAGACTCCGTGAGAAGGACCATTGCATTTCAGGGCATAATTCTACTGGGTTTTATTAAATGTAAAATGGCATCTAGCTAGAACTTTAGTCAATCAGGAATACACCAGAGGTTATACAAGAACAGGTAGGGTTTTTTTAGGTAAAACAAAGTGTTACATCTATAAAGGATTGAATGAAGTGTGGCTTGCTTGTGAAAGAAGAATAAGAGCTAATATTTGCGGACTATTTCATAGATGTATAAGACTATTTAACACTTTGATTTGAGTGTCTCATTTAAATTGCATGATGACTCTATGAGGCACACACTAATTTTGCCATTTTGGAGATGAGCAAACTGAATCAGAGAGATTAAATCTACTCAAGATCATGTAGGCATGAATTTCAGGTAGTCTTATATTTGCCATAACATTTTTAACTGAACTCTCTGCATGGTGCGTGTAGGTTAGAAAACTGGCTTGCTTCTACCAGAACTACCAAGTGCTGTTGAGAACAAGAGCTCCTCTGTACAACTCCTGAGAGTGTAATCCTCAGTTCTAAAGCTAACAACACCTCGCCTGAGAGGAGCAATCACTATCATGTACCTGTGGTATCTTATGAGTGTTTAAACCACAACCATTGTTCCGAGGTATTATTCATGCTGAGCTCTGCTTGCTATGGTAAAGATATTTGCCCTAATTATATGAACAATGCAGAAAGAGACCTGCTTAATGAAAGTCATTAAATACACAAGATATCTGTTTTTCTTAGCAGAAAATAGGTATTACACGCTACCTTTCCATGGGGGCACTGATTTAGAAAAATACTATTAATGTAATACTATAATGTAGAAAAGAACTATTGAGAGCAAAATACTTCTGCTAATAAAAACAGGCTCCATGCTTAGTAACTCTACAGTGACATTTCCCATCAGTAATACTAAATAGATTGCAATTAAAACCTTGGTTCCTGGGGCTAGTGTTTTGTTATACTTGGCTAAACCTCTGCCTGTGGTACCGGCATGCCATATCAGCATGGAGTTGTGTCCTGGCTGCCCCAGTCCTGATCCAATTCCCTGCATATAGCCTGAGAAAGCAGCAGAGGATGGCCCAAACTCTTGGGACCTTGCACCCATATGGGAGAACTGGAGGAGACTCCTGGCTCCTAGCTTTGCGTTGGCTCAGTGCCAGTTGTTGCACCCATTTGTGGAATAAACCAGCAGATGGAAGACATCTGTCTCAGTCTCTGCTTCTCTCTAGAAATCTGCTTTTCAAATAAAAATAAATCTTAAAAACCTTGATTCCATATGCAGAAGGATTTCTTCCTGCAAGTCATCCATACATAGGTATTGGATATCTACACATAGAGATATGTACTCTAGATAAATTGGTTTTACATATTATTTATATGCAATATTGGTACCTAACTAGTCTCTGAAAACTATCTTTAATTCATTTGTTTACATAAAAAGTGGTTCGATATGTCATACTTAAATATTAGGAGCAAAAGAAAAAGCTGCTATCGTTTTGAGAAGATGAATTGACAGCAGCATGAAATGAATGATCAATATCCTGAGCTGAATTAACCACTGGTGTGAGTCCTTCAGGCCGATCCAGGAGCAGCCCATGCACCTTGGGAGTGATGACTTCTGGCCACATTTATTTGGGAAAGACAGTTTTCTATCCCTGCTACATACATATGACTTAGCCTCTTGATAGCCTTTCAACAGCAATTCATAAAGTAAAAACTTAACAGAAGTTACATTAAATCCCAATAAAAATAAAGGTTAAAAGTCATAAAATAGAAACAGATGAGATTTTTAAACAGAAGATAAAAAGCTAGGGCCAATGAGCTGAAAGGTTACCATGGTTTCTATGAAAAGACAAGAAAGGTTAAAATAAAAGGCTAAGGCTCCTGAGATGAAACATTTAAAATAATCATCTAAATTTAAACAAAGGTCCATACAGAAGCAAAAATTAAAGCTGGAAACTAAAAAAATAATAAGAAAAGCAATCTTCTATAACTAAATGGCATAAAGTTCAGAGAACAGGGAGACAAAAAGAAGCAGGAAAAGAGGAAGAATTACAAATAATAAAATACAGAATCCTTCAGAATAAAAGATGAATTCCAATGAAACTGTTAAATACATCTTGCCAATAGATGCTGGACTTCCTACCACTGTTTATAACTATAATCTCAGGATAGACTTAAATAGCAGGATGATAGACTTGGACTTGTGACTGCTTTTGAAGGACTAGACTATTGAAATAGTCTAGGAGAAATAGGGTGGGGAAGAGAAACCCCTTTCAATGGGACTATGTCCTAAAAAAAAATTAAAAGTGTGTGTATAAAAGCATTAGATTTCAGAGGACTTCCTCGTCAGTGGGCAGCATCATGAGGTGTTGGGAGAACCAACTGTGCCTGCCCACAGTTCCCAGTGTCTAGAATCCCACACAGGACCAGGAGAGAATGGAGCCTTCTGCATGCAAGGGCATGCAACTGGGGACTTTTAGAACTACTCACCCCCTTTCATGATGGCCACAAAGCCACTTTCGCAAACTCATCAGCCCACTCTTCTGCCTGTGGGCCAGTCTGAATCTCAGAAAGAATAGTTCTATACCAGATTTATCCCCCAAGGACTATCTGACTGCCTGTACATTTCTCAACCTTCCTGAGTCCCAGTGTCCACCAATACTAATATCTGTAAAATGATGAAAGGACTAATGATAGAAACTTTAAGTATATGAAGGCATCTTCATTTCACTATTTGCACATTTATTTGCTTCTAGAGATATTTTCTACGAAGCAATTACCAGAAATGCAGCACTTAATCCTCATAGGCACCTATGGACTCAAAGCTGGAACAAGTCCTTCATGACCCAAAGCTGGAACAAGTCCTTCATGTGTTTAGAATATTTCCAATCAAAAACTCCCACCATAAACTTTCCTAAGAACCTGAAATTCCAATTATCTACTAGGAGAGGGGGGAAGTTGGGAAGTAAAGCTGTAGAAGGTGGAGAGGCAGATGCTATAAAATGAAGGCTCTAGTTGAGAAAGCCGCTTCCAACATCGCAATGTCTATGGACAAGTCTCTCCACTTGGCTTCCTGTTCAGCTTTCTGCTGATGCACATGGTAGGATGAAGCAGGTTATGGCTGAGGTAGTTGGCTTTCTTTCACCCCAAGAGAGACTTGACTTAGGTTGCTGGATATTGGGCATTTAGGGAGTGAACTCGTGCTTTGGGAGGACACTCTTATGTGTTTCTCTCTCTCTCTCTCTCTCTCTCTCTCACACACACACACACACACACACACACACACACACACACACTACCTCTCTCTCTACCTTTCCTTCTTTCTCTTTCCCTTTCTACCTCTCTCCCTCCCTCTTTCAAATAAAATAGACTGTATAGGCTATTTTCCTGAATTAAATGAAAATCATACCTACTTTTCATGTTCTATGCATATCACTGAAACACTGAATTAACATTTCCATTTCACTTTACAGACTCTACAACATATGCACATTTTCTGTTCAATGCATTTGACACGGACCACAATGGAGCTGTGAGTTTTGAGGTAAGTTCTTGCCTACTTTATATACCATTTGAATTAAGAGAGATTAGTCTTTTAATGGGGATATTTGAATTGGGTGATTTGATCCAGAGCAAGGGGATAAAAACACAAGAATACTTCTCACCCACTACTGAGTTGCTAAGAACAAATCACAAGCCATAGTTTGTTTTCCAATATTCTGTGTCTGTGCATGCAAGGAAAGTCCCTAGCCTCAACTGGAGTCTGGATATGAAAACAGTAATGGTTAGAGATGGAGAGGACAGTGTGACAGTATACCAGTATACCAGTATACCAGACAGTATACCAGGGGACCAGTCTCCTGGAACCTCTCTTCCACCATAGCAGCTTACATCATCCCAGGATCGTATCATATTAGTGTTCACTGCCCATTACCATGATGAATTCCAGCACAGCCTTAATGCAGTTATAATAAAGAAGGCAAAAGTTTCAGTTCACATAATAAAGGCTTTTATAGCTAATTTGCAGAGGATTAGTAAGACAAAACCCACTAGTGATTTCATTATTGAAATTATGTTTCAGAAATACACCATCAATTTCCTAAGGTAACATATCCAATTCTACATGTAAATTGTCTGATGTTAATAATGTAGGCCCATGCAGAACACTGCTCTTTCAGTATTTATGTAAAATACCGGTAATTGTGCTGAACGTTAATCATAATTTGGGAAACATGTTGTAATGTTTATACGTGATATGCATCTTGGTAAAATACCTTTCCCATTAAAGGCAAACAAATGCCTAAATTAATACATGTTGAATAAGAATCAAATTTGAAGGTAGGCTATTGCAGCTATTTTGCTAAGTTGATTAGGTGCCTGGTAAGTCTCTGGAATATGCCACTAGAGCATGAATATTTGGAGTAGCAACTGCATACTTGGGAAGTAAAGATCCTCCTGTTTCTATCACACGCACAAATGGAAGTTTTCCACTTACTTTGCTTCAACCTGAAGGGCAGAGTGAGAAAGGCAGTACGAGTCTTGGCCATGCATGGCTGTTGCACACAGCTAAGAACGTCATCTGATTTTCTGGTTAGTGCTAATGTCTGCCTAGTTGACCCTGTGAGTTACTCACTCTTCCTTAATCACTGCAAGGAATATTGCTCACGTTGCATTGTCTCAGTCACCCGGGGGAAGTATCTGATCAAAGCTTTTGTCATGATTAGACTGGGGTTTGTGTTCAGGGCAGGAAGATCATAGAAGTAAAATGCTTTTATTTTTTATTATTATTAATTACATTGCATCCTGTGACACAGTGTTATAGGCACTGGGATACCCCCACTCCTGCCTGAGCCCTCCCCCCAAATGCTTTTATTTTTTAACAATACAATAGAAAAGGTACAGGGAAACTGACCTTTGCCCACTGACAAGTTGCTCTTTTTCTCTTTAAAAACCATAGTGTTTGGAAGGAAGTTTTTATGCACATTCTACATTTTAAAAAATTGGGGAACTGGGCTCCTCTCCCTCCAAATATCTGAGAGACAGACTGAGAGTTCTGCAAGGGCGGCCCGTGTCTTCTCCCATTGACTCACGTCCTACCTTGCTCACACTCTGAGACATAAACCAGCACGGCCTTATTTATTCTGCTGCTCAAGTTTTGCAGCTTCCGCCATTCAGAGCTTTCAACTGTTTTGTGTCTCTGTGTGTGTCCCTTTAACATACTTCCACTGAGGCTGTTAGCATGAATCTACACTTTAGAAAAGTCTTTGGCATACAAAACATGAATTAGCATTAGTGCTTATTGTTAGTTATTCCAATTCTTTTTTTTAAAGATTTATTTTATTTTTATTGGAAAGGTGGATACACAGAGAGGAGAGACAGAGGAAGATCTTCCATCTAATGATTCACTCCCCAGGCAGTTGCAATGGCTAGAACTGAGCCAATCCGAAGCCAGGAGCCTCTTCCTGGTCTCCCACGCGGGTGCAGGGTCCCAAAGCTTTGGGCCGTCCTCCACTGCTTTCCTGGGCCACAGGCAGGGAGCTGGAAGGGAAGCGGGGCTGCTGGGATTAGAACCGGCACCCATATGGGATCCCGGGCGTGCAAGGTGAGGACCTTAACCACTGCGCCACTGCGCCGGGTCCAGTTATTCCAATTCTTATCTGTACAAGGTCAGAGATTGGGAATCTCCACCCGACAGTCTTCATGGGTGTCTATTACCGGGATTCTCGTTTCACTGCTCTAACCTTCTAGTTCTCATTCCCAGCCATATATTCACATGACTTACTCTCATCCTCTTTTTAGATGTTAAGAACATTTTCTTTCTTTTTTTTTTAAAGATTTATTTTTATTATTTTTTTCATTGGAAAGGCGGATATACAGAGAGGAGAGACAGAGAGGAAGATCTTCTGTCCGATGATTCACTCCCCAAATGAGCGCAACGGGCCGATACTATGCCAATCCGAAGCCAGGAGCCTCTTCCGGGTCTCCCCTTTTCGGGTGCAGGGTCCCAAAGCCTTGAGCCATCCTCGACTGCTTTCCCAGGCCACAGGCAGGGAGCTGGAAGGGAAGCGGGGCCGCCGGGATTAGAACCGGCGCCCATATGGGATCCCGGGCATGCAAGGCAAGGACCTTAACCACTTGCGCCACCGCGCCGGGCCCAGAACATTTTCTAATGTATTTATTAAATGTAATAATTTCATGGCAAGAATTATGAATTTCTGGCACTCCCAAATGTTGTGCAAATGTCATTTGTGATTAGACTACAGTGCTACCACCCCCAGTTATGTCCTGCAGAATTTGGAAAAGATGTGGGCTGCATGAAGCTCACACGTCAGTCCTCGTTAAAATGAGAGAGCCTGGGGTGTGGCGTTGTGGTGCCGTAAATTAAGCTGCTGCTTCAAACACCAGCATCCCATAGCAGATGTAGGTTTCAATTTCAGCCTGCTCTGCTTCCTACTGGTGTGTCAGAAAGCCAAAGCAAAGGAAAGTGGCCTAGGATGGAGTTCCAGGTTCCCAGCTGTAGCCATTTGGCCACTGCAGCCATCTGCGGAGTGAACCAGTTAAACCAGTAGCTTGTTTGATAATTCAATCCTCTTTCTTGCTTCCTCTCTCCCTTCCATGCCTCCATCCACCCATTAAATAAGAAAATTAGTACATCTGCACAAAAGGTGAGATCCTGGTCTAAGTCAGAAACATAGCTGGGTTCCAGTTCCAGCTCTGCTGCTCATTTGTGCTGTGTGACTTGGCTCAGTCTTCTATTTTCTGTTAACCTCCCTCTATACATTAATACAAACTCCCTGTGATCATGCAGGGTTGATATGAGATGATACATGGGCACTGCCCAACACTAGGCACAGTTACATATCCAGGAACATCGAGTGGGTGGGGAGGGACTGAAGAGATACTAACCAGGATCCCTAATCCCACAGTCGTCACTATTAATAAATTTCAGTGTCTCCAGACCCTGTACTGCAGCAATTGCACATTTTTCCCCAATGACGTCAGTCAAAATAATGAGAAATCCAGTGATAATGTTTACTATGGCATCACGTGTTAGAAAAAAAAAAGTATTGTAATTAGTTTACATACCCAGAGGAAGAAATGGGTAGGTCAGTTCTGATTCAGCCATATGCTCAATCAATGCTGTAAATGTCAGATTCTGTTAGTAAAATTAGAAATTAGCGGTCATAATATGTAAAATAATTAATGGAAGTGAAATGTAATTATCAGTAATAAATGCAGTTTCTAATCTGAAACAGAGCATGCACGCTTGTATGTATCAATATGTGTGTGCCAAGCTGTCACTTCAGCTGCAGTTATTACTGTGGTTTCTGGGCGACAATTTTCAAAATCCATCATAATCATATTATTAGCTTAAGCGGTATGAAATGACTATTTATCAGACTAAACATCAATTTCATACAGTCCAACTGAACAGGTATTTAAATATTGTCAAAGAATTTTCAGTGATGAGGGAAAAGATCATAAGAGTAGTATACAGCATCTACAGCTGCAGGCAGCGTTCCGGCACACGGCCTTTGTGTTCATACTACGTACATGTGTACACGGGACAAAGGGGAATGCGAGCTGTGGACAGGGGTCAGGACAACGTGAATTATAATCTTTGCTAAGTACAATTTTTTGTATTTTTTACATAGATCAGAATTATGTTTATGTCAAATTCATCAAATTCATACTTGTTAATTCAACTTGTTAATTCATACCTGTTCATTCATAAATGAACTTAAATAGCTTGCTTTCATGATAAGTTAGATCTTGGAAAATACTTATTTTTCAGACTTTTCTTTTTAATCGGTTTCAACCAGATCCAAACTTTAGAAAGTATCTGAAAGTGCATTTCAAATACTTCGAATACTAGCTCTCACTAGATGTGGAAGTTTACTCCATTCAAGGAAAATCATGTCATGGAAAATAAACCTTAAAAATGTATATGAAACTGACAGTAAGTATAAAAGTTCGCAGACTGATCACCTGTGGCCTCCTACTGGGTCTCTCTCCTTTGCTTTCTTTCTCTCTAATCTTCTCTTTTTCTGTGGCGGAACAATAGGAAGAATCGGGGGGAAAACCTTCCATCCATGATTCTCTCTCCCAGTAGCAGCAACACCCAGGAATGGCCAGGCCCAAACTAGGAGTCAGGAACTCTTCGGAAAATCTCCCAAACGGGAAGCAGAGCTGACCTGTCATCGCTGCTCCACAGCAGCCCTGACAAAGCAGCATGAAAGCCGAGTGCCCAGGGCTTGACTAGCACTCTGCCATGGCAGCCAGTCACTGTGTCAAAATGCCCTCGCCAGCAGCCCCTGGGCCCCATAATGGACTTGTTCATGTTGAACCAGGAAGTATGCATGTGTTGGAACAATTGTGGAGATTCCTGGAGTCCAGAGCAATCACTCTTACTCTTTGGCCAGGTTGGGTCAGATGGGTGTCACCGACTTGGCTGTAAGGCAATAAAATAGGCTTCTTGGGCCTGGCACAATAGCGTAGTGGTTAAGGTCTTCGCCTTGCAGGCCCGTGATCCGATATGGGCCCTGGTTCTAATCCCGGCAGCCCTGTTTCACTTCCCATCCAGCTCCCTTCTTGTGGCCTGGCAAAGCAGTCAAAGGATGGCCCAAGGCTTTGCACCCGTGTGGGAGACCTGGAAGAAGCTCCTGGCTCCTGGCTTCAGATTGGCTCAGCTCCAGCCATTATGGCCACTTGGGGAGTGAATCATCGGATGGACGATCTTCCTGTCTCTCCTCCTCTCTGTATATCTGACTTTCCAATAGACATAAATAAATCGTAAAAAGAAAAAATTGTTGTTGAAAAAAAATAGGCTTCCTGTCCTTGCTCAAGTCACAGCTCCATCACCAGAACACAGGGAGAGAGCACATTCACACAACTATAGCATCAAATTTAAAAAAGGAGCTTACCAAGAAGAGTAGCAAAATGTCGGTTGATTTAGAAGGCATGTCTTGATACTATGTCCTTAAGGTTTCAGAGTGTTGTCTCCTATAAAGCACTCTTCCTCTCCTTTCAAACTGACACCTTCACTCCCATGACTGCTGGCACCACTGGCTGGTTTTCCAGCTGCTGGTGCTCACCGCTGCCCGGTGCAGCGCTGAGCTGGAGTGTGGCAAGCAGCAGCTCTCCTTCCCGAGAGGAACGTCCTCCTGGTCTGTTAGGCTTACATTTGCGTCTCCTCTCTCCAGAGACTTCTCTGTGGGCTTGTGAGTGTTCTCACTGTAAAAGGGCGTGCAGATGATAGTAACTACACTTCCACAGCACCAGAGTTGGAGAGACAATGATTTCCCTGTTGTTCGGTTTTGTCATTGTTGTCAAAAACCTACAGGCCACAGCTGTTTAGGTGAATATGAAGATTCTTGATTCTATTCCACTGCTCTATTTGAATGCCAGGAACACTGTGTTCTGGTTACTGCATAACTCAGTATGCCAAGTTTTGAAGTTGGAAAGTCAGTCCTCCAACAGATTCATTCTCAATTTGGAATTGCTAGGACTTTCATATTACTTTGATAACCACGTTTCCATGTCTAAAAATGAAAAGGTCAATGGCCATTTGTCATTAATTAGTTCAAGAAAACTGAATGGTATGTCTAGCTTGATATAAGTCACCGGAAGTTAAGTTAAGGAACAAATTAAGGATAGCTATTATCAAAGTGTAATATTGTTTTAGCAGTATTAGACCACAAAATTAGGGAAAAAATAAGCACACAAATTAGAAAGGTATAAAATTAAATTTATTTGCAGTAAATTAAGTTCCACGATGATATTCATGAAAATCCCAGGAGTAAATCCAAACCACAATGGTACCATTCAGCAGTGTACAGAATCACTACGTAAGATCAGCAGCTCTCACATGTAGAAGCACAGCTTAATTTAGCACACACAGAAGGCAGCATCATCAAAACGCTAACAGAATGAAACACAGTTGGCCGTCCCCTCCACACGAGCTGCAGCTGGGACTTCAGCCTACCCTGGAGCAGAACAGTTTTCAAGAAAGAAAAAAAATGCATCACAGAAACAACCAAGAATGTATTTGTCATTTTGCCCCACAAATGGTTCAAAATTCAATAGCTTGTGACCTCGCTTCCATCATTTGAAGGATAATCTTATCAGTGTCTTTATGCTTTAAAGAAACTTTATATCAAATTTATTTGTTTCCTTTTAGGATTTCATCAAAGGTCTTTCCATTTTGCTCCGGGGGACAGTGCAAGAAAAACTCAACTGGGCTTTTAACCTGTATGACATAAACAAAGACGGCTATATCACTAAAGAAGTAAGAAATACCTTGCTAATACAGCTATCCTTACTGTTTTCATTTAGCTTCAAACTAGTCAGCCACTGCAAGTATTAATTTGTTTTTTCAGAAAATCCAAAACATTTTATTAGACAGTGAAGGAAATGTATAAAAAAAAAATGGACTACGTAGTTTATGGTCCCTTCCAGACTAAATGCCAGAGGCTTCAATCTTTCAATGTCATTTTCCCATGAATATTTTTGGACTGGCATTTATATATAAGACACACACCCAAAAATGTATATCCTTGTTGCCTACTGGCATCTTAGTAATACTGTGAATAGAAAAGAGACTCTGCTTGGAATCAGATGAAAAGGCAATCTATCCAAAGCCTGTTACTGTTTTTGACCTGAAATCATACTGTTTTACCTGTATGATGGCATCTGTGTTATCATCATATCGATTCTGCTGCAACTGTGGAATCTCCAAATGTACTTCCTGGCAGGCTATTCCAGAAAGTTCACAGACCAAATACAGCACTTCACTTTACAAAATCAACTTACAACACAGCCAAGGAGCAAGGGTAAGAAGTCGGTTATCCTGGCTCTGGATGGGTAGAAGTATTACATACTCAGGGCGCTCATTATTCATGTGGCCTTCTTTCTGCCTCATTAGCCTTCCCCACAGTTGAATTTTGATCAAGGGCCTCACAGAAAAAAAATACCTGGGATTAACGACAGGTACTGGAAAGACATAGTGAGGCTGATGACATGACAGCTTGATAAGTAGTCATAGGTTTTATGCTTTGTGACCAGAAGATATATGGGGCCAGAATGGGTACTGCCAATAGGTTTGGAAGACCGCATGAATATTAAGTATTCATGCCTGTGGAGCATATCCTGTATAGCTGATGCTTAACTGTTCGTATACTGTGAACATCAAGTACCCATGTGCCTCAGGAACGTTAAGGATTCCTTGGCTCTTCGGTTTCCGGGGTTAAGACAAACCTGTTCTTACTGCTTATACTTACCACATAGCTTGAATTCTAACGAAGTCCATGCTGCCTACTGGTGGTGAAAAAAAGCTTCACCCATTCTACAAAAACTCTCATTTATGAGAACTGGATACTCAATGTATGTGTCTGAGTATATCAAATCAACCTAATCCAGACACCTTAAGTGAAATTTCAATATGTAGGAAACCACAACCAATCTGATTACCTAAGCATTTCAGTATTGTTACAACGCACATAAGATCACTACATTTTGTTTTATTTCTTAAAAAGGGGTTTTTGATTGTCAATCTTTTCACAATTCTTTAAGAGTGACTTCTTCAGTTAAAACCTAAATGAAGAAGGAAAAAAAAAACTAATGAATTTTGAACTTAACAATTCTACATGGAGGTTTCCTTTAGTCTTTTATTTTTGATAGCATTTTTGTCCTTCAATAAATGGTACTGATAATCAACAGATAAGTCCAATCAGTGAAACAGTGAGAATTTATTGAAAGCTACTAAACTTAAAGACATGATTTTCTTGATCACACTGTGTGTACGGGAATTTGCTTCATTTTAAAACCAAGATTAGAATCCTTACATTCTGTTTCTGCTGCTATTATGGCAGAAAGATGCTTACCAGTTTTTTATTGGAACAACTAAAGCAAATAATCAACAACAAAAATTTAAATTTTTTAAAATTTAAATCTCTCAGAGCTTCTCAGACCGACTGCTTTATACACTGTGTAGTCTCACCGTAAGTACCTTTTACCTTTCAGGAAATGCTTGATATAATGAAAGCAATATATGACATGATGGGCAAATGCACATATCCTGTCCTCAAAGAAGATGCCCCCAGACAACACGTCGAGACATTTTTCCAGGTAGGAACAGAAACAGGGAGGGGGCACAGTTAGCAGTACACAACACAAAGTTTGCAAAGCACCACAGTCACTCAAAAGAAGTGCTACCGAAAGGGACAAAACAATGGAATGTTTGCTGTTTTACTCTTCTGATAATTTTGACTCTAATTTTGTTCATAAACATATTTATAGACATTCACTATTTCCTAAGTAGAACAGTAAATCATCAATGAGTACATCCTGTTTCACAATTCACTTCTCACAAGAATCCTGTGAGGGTTTAAACTCTAAGTAGCCTCATTTGACAGACGAGAAAGCAAAGTTCTAAGGTTCATCAAACTGCCTGAGATGTCACACTGGGAAGGCAGAACTTTTACCTAGGGTACAGTGACTTCCTTTGCCACACCGCGCTGAAAGGTGACAGCAGAAAAGAATGTGGCCCTGTGATTCTAACGTGCAGGCAGCATTTGGCCCTGAGCGAAGCAGCTCAGCACACCCAGGCAGCTGGGCTCCCCTTTCCTCAGTTTCCTGAGTGTTCAGGGGTGAAAGCATCAGGGGTTAAATCTGAATAAAGCTTTGTTTCTTTTTTTCCTGGACAGAAAATGGACAAAAATAAGGATGGGGTTGTTACCATTGATGAGTTCATTGAAAGTTGCCAAAAAGTAAGTAACAAGGGCCACAGGAGCCACCACGAGCTGAACAAACATCAACACGGTGGGAGTCTGTCCCTCCACCCTGAGCACAAGTCCCCCAACCAACATTACACAGTGCTGAAATAAGGTCAGCTCCCTGTGTGGGAAGCCCAGGAGAGACAGAGAAGAGTTCCACCTGTGCCGTTTCCAAAATGCTTTGGAGTATTCATCCTTGAGAGTGCAACAAGAATGGGAGATCTGTATTCTTTTCATGAACTGAGGATATACATATTATTTTTCAGAGCTCAAAATTCTCCTACCACCAAGTATATATCACAAAGTTTGTATCTTATTTGTAAAAGAAAGGCCATTACTTTAGCATAATGTGGACAAGAAACGGCTTTTTTACTGAGCCCAGTAAGTGCCATTAGTTATAAACTCAGTGTTACCCACATTCAACTGATAAGCCCAGAGTCAGACCTTTTCACTCATTTCTAAGACCATGGTGAGTGGAGAGCTTCCGGGCTACAGTTTCTGGCATGGGAAGGCCACTCCTTCCCCGCAGCTCTCAAAGGCCACATTCCAGCGACACACAACTATCAGTACTGTGTTTCCTTCCACTCTAACTAACCCTCCTTAAGCTTCTGATGTTCAGCGCTGGCCTGAGAGTGTGAAAAGTGTCTACTAGCACCAGTAAGGACAGTGGACCCAAATATCATTGTAAATATCATTGTCACACAGTAAGCCCTTGGTGCTTGAGCTCTTGGTACGGAAGTGGTCGGGAGGAGGCGATGGCTGGGTGCAGGGTAGTAGCTGCCTCATTATGCTGAAGATAACCCATTTCTCTTACAGGATGAAAACATAATGCGCTCCATGCAGCTCTTTGAAAATGTGATTTAATTTCCAATAGATCCTCACTGGAACAGACAAATGTGAACTGTCCCACCACACGAAGCTGGAGCTACCACTTCTAGCATAGATTGCTCAGCTTTTCACTGAAGCGTATTATGCAAACAAGCTTTGTTTTAAGATAAAGCAGTCCCCAAAAGATTTGCATCATTTTCATACTGTCACTGAGTTCATGGGATGTTGTAACTCATTTTAGACTCTGTGAATATTCAAATTATAGAAGCTGGCATAGAGCTTGATTCTTTAGCCATGGGATTACTAAGGCTTTCACGTATCCGTGATTTTAAATTGTCCGTGTTTTTTTTGCCATTCATTTGTATGTATGGTCCTAGGATTTTAAACGGTTTTCTAAAATATTGACATCTGCAATTTAATTTCCAAAATTATTTTCATGGCTGTATGGTATAATTCCATTTGTATGTTAGGTAAACAAAACTAAACACACAGTCCCAATTTATATGAATTTGCTGCTTTTCTGTTAATCTGGCATTTTTTATAATACTTTCCCAATTAGTTTATTACCAGACGTCAGCATATGCCTAACAAGTTATTTTGATAAGCATTGCAGTCAAGGTCTAGGAAGTGTATATAATTTCAGATTTGTTTAGTCCTACAGGCCGTTTTCTACTGTCATTAGGTAGAAGCTCCAAAAGGTGTGAAACTAAGCAAGGATGTTTACAGACATGCAAAGGCTCGGGATAGCTGTCCTCCAGCACACTCGAATTAATGCTTATTAATAAGGAGTCCTTGACAATATTTAAGTCCCTGTCTATCCCATTTCCCTCAAACTTTTCACAGCAAGTTTCTGTTAGCAATTCAGGATCAAAGAAACACTGATCACAACAATGATCACTTAGAAAAAAGGAAAGCAGAATTCACTTTGAACACCCAGTGATTCCATTATACTAAGAACTGCTACCTGAATACAAGTGCGGAAAATCTGACTGTACATGACTTAGCTCATCACAAAACTCCCGCAATTCAGATTCTTAATACTGATCTTAAGCCAAAACTGAAAAGCTGGCGAAACATTACTCCAGATACTCACATTTTCCCTGGAAGACCGAGAGGCTGCAGGAGGAAGAAATTTGCGACCGTCTTTGCAACAACAAATCAGGTATCTATTCTGGTGTAGAGAGGATGTTGAAAGCCGCCCTGCTGTCACCAGTGTAGAAATTAAAAGTAGTACAATACATGTACACTGAAATCTGCCATCGCGTATTTGTGTGAACTCAACGTGCACATTTTGTATTACAAACAGAAAAAAATAAAAGCAAAATAAAATGTTTATAACTCTCCTGTGCTTAGGTCTTCATTCTACTAAACTTTGCTACTACTGGCTGTAAACCATAGCTTTTCTCTTTGGGTATTTTTTAGACTGTACACACCTTTCAGTGAAACAGACTTAAAGGAGGAGCCAAGACAGGCCTGATGGACAAAGCGTCCCAAGGGAACAGTTCCAATTTTCGAGTAAGAACTGCCACATGGGCACTGTGGGAGATGCAAGGAAAGGCATTCCCTGGTGTGCCTGATATATGACACTGCTCAGCTCAATTCCTTTCCAAGGCTGACTTGATGTAGCCATTCAAGTCCCTAGACCCATGCCATGAAGGACCCATGCCATGAAGGACCCAAGCCATGAAGGACCTCTTTTTGTATTGTAGATCCTCTTTCACTGGCACAATGAGGTACAGCTTCTGACATCAAAATTTTAAACTATTTGTTTCAAAGGCCTTTTAAAACAAGCAAGTTGTTAGAATTAAAAACCTAAAGTTTAGGTACTTGTATCAAGTTGTAAAAACTGACATACTTGTAATAGAATTTATACTTGTAAGTTTTCCAAGCATTCTATGTTATAAAATATACTTAAATCTGAGTTCATAGTGCTACCCCATTCCAATATCTAGAGCCTTAGTGAATATAAAATCCCTCCAAAGAATAAAAATCAATACATAGGTACTAGAAAATAAATATGTAGCAATATCTGATCACATAGTTTCTCAAATATGAACATTAAAAAATTTTAAAATTCTGTAACATTCCATTATAACTTTTGTTAGAGTACTTTTTAATATGGGATTTCATTAACCTAGTAAATAATGAATGGAATCTGTAGTTTATAAAAGAATGAACTGATAGAGTCCCACAAATACCCAAGGTCTATGGTAGACATCTGTTACCAGATGGTAAGATGACTTTGGATTCTCTCACTCAACAGCAGATGGAGCAGTAGGTTGGAATTTTAGATTTGATGATCAGAAGGCTTCCCTGTTAAGAGAAAACCATTGAGTGTCATTAGTATCATGACATTTCAAGAAATGCCTAAAAATATTCACAAGTCAAATAATAGAATAAGTAGTGGAATTTTTTCTAACAAAACAAAGCTATATTTAAGAGACAAATGATCAGGAATTAAACTTAAGCTTTTCCAGTCACTTCTCTACACCTCAGCTTCTTAATCCATAAGTGAGAACAAAATCTGAGGATTACAGATAAGATTACATGAGTTCAGTGTCCTAAAAAACTCAGCTAAGTACCTCCTGGATAATAAATTCTTAGTTAATAAAGATGTGTCCAAGTATAATACACATTTCTTTCAAAGAATATTATACCATGTTCTGAGATCATCAGCTTCAATTTTAGGCAAGTATAAAGATTATTAATAAGAAAGTGTCACTACCACTAGCTAATTCCACTTCCCCAGAAGTCTTAGGAAACGTGAAATGTGACACTTCAATTTGGAAGGCTATTTCTTAAAGGCTCCACTCTACCATTTAAAGAAAACAATGGGTATATAAGCCTTTAAGATCTCAGAAGAGCATTCATTAATTCCATCAATGATCACAAAGTAACTAGAGAAAGTCTCTCACAAATAAATCACTCACTGTTAAAATCTTATGCAACACAAAGAAGAGACAAGAAGTCCAAATACTTCACACCCCCTTTAGCTACACAACCCTTTCTTCCTTAGTATCGTGTGTTCCAAGTGTCAAGGCAAATACAGGCACTCGCTAACCCTCCAGCAGCCAGGACTGCTCACGTATCACCACTGTATTTTCACTGGGAATTTCAACATGCCGCAAGCACACTTGCAGTCTCTTGCTCTGAGCACAGAGGATGGGCTGAAGCCCCCAGGCAGAGCCCCACACTGAGGAACTGTGCTGTCAGGACACAGCATCTATTAACTCAAGTTGCAGGCGGAACAAAGGCAAAATTTCATGCGTTTTCAAGCAAGAATTTCCTTTCTGGTCAGAGGAGACACTAAACTAGGGAAGATACTGCACATCTCAGCCAAACGTCTGATCCTCCACTCGGGACCCAACACATCAAAATTCATCATCTACCAGGCCTAAGATTTACTTCCTCTGCATACTGCCCTCGGCATGACTCATGGAAAGAATATTAAAAGTCACTGAACTTGTCAAATTAGGCAATTTATCAAAAGCTTAACATGTTAAATTCTTTACAAATACCTAAAATAAAACTAACTTTTGTAATGTTAAATTGTGACTCTATCATTAAAATCATTAAAACATGACTAAATGTAACCTCCAAAACAAAGCGACTTTATGAAAATAAGACTCTAAGCCTGGATCATCTGAACATTTTTTTCATATTAACGTTCAACAAATGTAGTGATTTCACATCATGTAGTACTCACACATATCCTTGTACCTTGAAAGGTCTGACTAATGCACTGATCTGTTTGGACACATGTGTACACACACACGAGGGGACACAGGGGCTTACAGGTGTAACTGTGCCACCCTCACACAATGCCATTGCAACCTTGGCTTACACAGACATTCTACATTTTAACAAAGCATGGCATTAAACTCAGGAAAAACGTATTGCTCTGCGCTGAGTACTCTAATTCTTTGGTTTCTAAATGTTCCAATGGTCAAAAACATCTGAAATACTTTACAGGGAATAAAAAAAGTAAAACTGAATGGCCATAGAAAGTGCAATGAGAGGAGAGGCGTGGATTTCCATAACCTTGGTCTAAGGCAAAGCATTAAACTGCCCAACCTGATCAGGAAAGAAACCTCAAGCCCCAAAATGAACGTGTTTTCCGTGTGGCACTTGTAGCTAACATGATATTTAGATGTTAAATATGCAGTCAGTTCTGTGATATGAGTAGCAAGAGGAACAATAAGACAGGAGTTGAAGAAGAAAATCCTACTTACACTGCCACCATGCTGTTCGAGCTTCTGCAGTGCACTGGTGATTGGCTCTTTAAACTTCTTATCCATCAGTCTCTTGGAAAGCTTTTAAAATCAGATTGGGGAGATAAAAAGACATGATTTCTAAAATTAACCATGTTTATCTTAAGCATAATTAAAATCATAAGTATGCCTTACTTTAGGATTTTAAGATTTTGTTTGGGAAACATCTAAAGCTTACATAGAAGACACCACTGTCTATTGTTTAAAAACAATACACTATAATTTACAATACAGCTAGTCATACCAATTCCACAAAATCTAACACAGTAGGAGATCCAGTTTTCTATGAAATAGCACACTTCTCCATTTTGTAATCTGCAAAGGCACGTGAAGTATGATATATAGCTAGGCCTTTAAAAGACATTTTCCTAACAGAAAAAGTAAACTCTGCCTCTCTCTCCTGCTCTCTCTCCCTCCCTCTCTCTCTCTCTCTCTCTCTCACACACACACACACACACACACACACACACACAGAGGAGCATTTAGGTGACTAGCATGATTCATATATTATCAGGGAAAAGTAGCTGACTGACTCTCACAGGCTCTGTTCGGAATGGGTCTCACTGTGCAGAATCGAGCCCAAGAGAACTGAGCACAGAATCCCAGGCAAGAGAACAGAGCACAGAATCCCAGGCAAGAGAACAGAGCACAGAATCCCAGGCAAGAGAACTGAGCACAGAATCCCGGGCAAGAGAACTGAGCACAGAATCCCGGGCAAGAGAACTGAGCACAGAATCCCGGGCAAGAGAACTGAGCACAGAATCCCGGGCCTGGCCTAGCGACAGCCCCACTCCACCCTCAGGGCAAGCCCAGCTGAGAGCCTTCCCACCACACATCTTGATTACCTCTGCCAAAGACTGAAACCTTTTACTTATTGCAAGACTGTTTCAGGCATCCATTCTGAAAATGCGACGGAAGCCCACACAGGAACTGGTCATTCAGCCAGCACATGTACAGGCCCTGGTCTGTCACGCAGTCAGTTTCTGCTCCTTCTTCCTCCCAGGTTGGAAGGTCACCCAGGAAGAGTACTTTACTTCATTAAATATCATGGCTGGTGAGTCAATCATGAAAAATTAGGCAAAGTTGGGGCTGGGATGATTGCTCAACTGGGCAATCCTCCACGTGCAAGCAGTGGCATCCCCTGTGGAGCAGTCCTGGCTGCTCCACTTCCAAAATCGCTCCATACTTACGGAATGGGAAAGCAGTGGAGGATGGCCCTAAGCTATGGGACCCTGTACCCATGTGGGAGACTGGGAAAAGGCTCCTGGCTCCAGATCGATTCAACACCGGCTGCTGAGGCCATTTGGGGAGTGAACCACTGAATTAAAGATCCCTCTCTCTCTCCTGTCTACAAATCTGTCTTTCCAATAAAAATAAATCTTAAAAAAAAAATTAGGCAAAGTCAAAAGACACTCTCAGCCTCTAGCAATGAATAGTCTGTGTTCAGACTAAGATTTTCAGCTTGAACATATGAGAGAACAAGCAGAATCTGTCCTTCTTTGTCTGGCTTGTTAATTTACTGAAGTAGGGTGGGCTATAGCAGCGTAACTGGAGTTAGAATAACAGGCTAAATAGAATCCTCAGTTCACACAGTGCTGAGTGACCACAGTGGACAAGCACCTGTTACGGATTTTATGAGCAAACAGATGAGCCCCAAAACATCAAAGTAATACAGAAGGAGAAATTGTCCCGACTTGATCAGAACAGATCATATGTATATACTGAAATGCTGCATGACAGCCTATAAACTTACTGTTATTAATGAAAAAAGATTTTTTCTTGACGGAGACTCCCAGAGAGAAATGCAAGAAAGGCAACTAGCAAACTCCCTCATCTTCCTACCACTGTGCAGTCAGCGTCGAGCTTGCCCAGAGAAAATCTGGTCCTTACCTCTAACAGTAACTTTTAAGTTTCTGGAATGTCTTGCTAAATAAGAGGTTCTTTATTAGCCTGGCATCTTTGGGCCTCACCAGATTATCTACGTTCAGGAGGTAGTTTAGACTGGGGCTCAGGGTCATGCCTACCATGCCGCAGAACACTGGCCTGAGAGACAGATCTCAGTAAAAACTCTGGATAGTGGAGCTGGCATGCTGGCCTAGCCAGTTAATCCTCAGGTGGAGACCTGTGATGCCAGGATCTGATATAAGCGCCGGATCATGTCCCCACGGCTCCACTTCCAACCCAGCTCCCTGCTTCTGGCCTGGAAAGTCAGTGGAAGATGGCTCGAGTCCTTCAGCTCCTGCATCCACATGGGAAACCCACCCCTGGAGGAAGCTCCTGACTCCTGGCTTCACACCGACTCAGCTCTGGCTGGTGTGACCTGTGGGAGTGAACCAGTGGATGGGAGACCTGGTCTCTCCTCCTCAACTTCTCAGTCTTGACAACTCTGCCTTTCAAACAAACAATAAAACAAACCCTTAAAAGAAATTTTAAAATAATAATAAATAGAAATAAATAAATAGAAATAATAAATAATAAATCAAACCCTGTATTCTAAGGCTCAGGTTGCATTATCTAGCTGGCAGCAATCCATGCATGCTGCCCGACACACTGCTGTCCACACTGCACTGGGGACGCTGCGAGAGGCAGGCTAGTACAACTGCAGCTCTGCTGCTAACCTCCCGGGTCCTGCTCTGCTCCCTGGCTGGCTGCATGCTCCACCTGAGTGCTCTGGTTAACAGCATCAGTAACCTGCAGCTCTCCTAGCCCCATCAGTCCTCCCAACTCTACAGGCTGCCCAGGGCATTCCTGGACTCGTCTCCAAGTGCTGAGCTGTGATCAAGGCAAATTCAACTACAAACAAGGGAAAAAATCCCATCCTGAATTAATTTAAAAACCCAGTGAGAAACTCAAAAACAAAGAGATATAAAAAACATGACTTTGGAAATATATAAATACAGAAGGTTTACGAGCACTGCTTAGTACTCACAGCTAGTCAATAACGGCAGATCATACTGAATTTTTATCTACATTTTGTTTACAACTGATTACAATGCTAAACCCTGCTCCTATAGGTGGATTTGTAATTTTCAAAAGCATTAAAGAAAATACTGTCTACAGAAAATGTGTTATGAACTACTAGGTCCAAACTCTACATTTCAGCGAGGGTAATGTTCTCCAGGCTGAGTCCATTTATCATGAAGAGAAGCGCAGACAGCACGATGCACAGGGAGGAACAGCACTCACGCTCGTCAGCAGGTGCTTCAGGTGGTCATTCAGAGCAGGGCCAACGACGCCACTCAACTGCACCAGAGCGTTCAGTCCTCTCTCAAACACTTCATCATCTGCATGGCCCTGCAAGGTCAGTTCGTTAACGATAAAGGAACAAAAAGGAAAAAAATGAAAGATGGGTTAGGAAATAGGGCAAATCAAGGCAAAAGGAAAGTAAAATTGTGCAATTAGAATTAGAAGCTAGCCAGCAAAACCCAGGGTTTGTAAAACAAAGGACAACATTGTGGTGCAATGCAATAAGCTACCATTTGCAAGTCAGTCCCATTGCAGAGTTCCAGTGTGAGTTCCACCGCTCCAGTTCAGCCTTAGTACACTACTGACATGCGCGAAAAAACGGCAGAGGTTGTCCTAACTACTCCCAACCACAGGAGAGATGTGGACGGAGTCCTGGGCTACTGGGTGAGGCCTGGTCCAGCCCCCAGCGCTGCAGCCCGAGTGAAACAACAGACGCCAGCTCGCCGGCTCTCCATGCCGCTAAGAATAAGTAAACTTGAACACAGCTCATGCAGGAGGGGTCTCCGTCCTACACAAGCAAATTAACCCACTCTCTGGCCCAAGTAAAGAATTAACAAAGCTATCTAACATGCTAAAGGACTGCTTTACGGTTCATTAGGGGTTTTTTCAATTACTTAAAATGTCATCTTTTACCTTCAGTACAACCTCAAACCTCTCTAAGTCCATAATCATCTAGCCTTCAATAACAGGGGCACACACTAATTTTGTCTATGCATCAAAATCACAGGCAAATGACTAATTAGCATATAACTTGGAGCAGAAAAAAAAACACATGAAATTTGCTAATTGTATAAAGCTGTCCTTCCTCCATGTTTTGAAGGCATGAGGAACTCCAGGCCATACCAGAGCCGCCTTGATCACAGGCACCAGCCTCGGCAGCAGAGGCTCGGCTTTCTCAGGGGCTCCTTTGACCAGAAGTAATTCTCTAAAGCCCTCCTTGGACACGAAGGTATACGGATGTTTAGTCTCTCTCAGACCCTGCCAAGGAGAACAAAAAAACATCATCTACTGACCCATTTTATCACACTAACAGAAAATCTAAATCATGACTAGTTCAACTGAAAACTGACAAGTTTGATCACTGTTTTCCTCATTCGAATGATTTCAGTTATACTCAGAAACAAGAGACACGAGGAAAGGAAACCTCTCCCCTCCAAAGGGAACGAAGAGACAAGAAAAAGCAGGAAAAATAAAATATCGAAGAACAAATGAAATAAGTACAAATAAAGAATAAAAACTCACTCGGCTGCTGCAAGCATCGCCTATGCACCTTGACACTGCCACAGAGCCAGCAGTATTCTGCAATGAGGACTTACAACCCCAGGGCGAACAGAAAACTACTGCCCTGCCCGCCTTCACAATTTTAGTTTGATCACAGAGTTTCTAACATGTAGTTCCTTCAGTTAAATATTTTATATCTTATATTAAGATATTTAGAAGGCAAATCTTGCATTTTGGACAAAAAGCATGCTAAGATTTTAAATGTCATTTTTAACAGGATGCAGGGTAAGACCATGAAACAACTTTTGTAGATCATTTCTGATATGTCTTCTATCCAAAATGCATAAGAAATAACTAAATAGCTCTCTGATGAAATAACCAATCTTTTCAAGTCCAGATGGAAGATCCATCTGACATTTTTGGAAAAGAAAAAATAAAGTAAAAAAAAAAAAATAGAAAAATATATTGATTTTGACTAATTATTGGTGAAGTAGATTCAGTCAAGCTTAGAAATTCTAATTTTCCCTTAAATTTTCCTTTAAATTAAACCATCTGCTCCCAGAGTGAGCACTGTTTCCTTTCCTTCAGGCTTCTGAACACTGTTGTTGTCACACTTGCCCCAAATTAAACGAGAAGGCTGAAATTCAATCAAATACAGAAATAAAGTGCTAGTGTTCGTACAACAGGTTGCTAATGGACTGACTCTATGTGGCATAAACGTAGTTCCTTACGACGACTCCCGAAGCAGCTGGCACCACCCAGGTCAAGTCACAGGCCATTCCATATGAGTGCCACCTGAAGCCTGGCAGCTCCATTCCACATGCTGCTTGCTGCTAACATGCCTACAAAAGCAGACGACGACCCAGCCACCTAGGCCCCTGAATTCAGCTAGCAAACCCAGGAGGAGTTCCAGCCTCCTGGCTTCCACCAGGGTTGCAGTCATGCGGGGAGTGAATAAGCAAACCAAACAGTGGTCTCTTTCTCCCTGTTAACTTTGACTTTCAAATAAATAAATGCTAACCAAAAAATAATAAGTAAAAAGCAATTCCAAAAAGAGTCCACACTGTACCCTGGGAATAGCTGAAATATGCATCTATCTAAAGATATCAGATATTTAAAGATATCTATGAAATGGGTTGATCCTGACAAGGACTAAAGAACCAAAGACACATCACTAATCTATCTTTAATGCCAAGGTTAAAAGGCTTATTCAGACCCAAATTTCATAATAGTCAATCCATAAAAATGCACTGCTTACAACAAGGTAACTGCAAACTGAGCTATCAATAAAAACAAAGCCTTATTAAAAACAATTTGGCGGGCCCGGCGCGATGGCGCAGTGGTTAGGGTCCTTGCCTTGCACGCCCGGGATCCCATATGGGCGCCAGTTCTATCCCGGCAGCCCTGCTTCCCTTCCAGCTCCCTGCCTGTGGCCCGGGAAAGCAGTCGAGGACGGCCCAAAGCTTTGGGACCCTGCACCCGCGTGGGAGACCCGGAAGAGGCTCCTGGCTTCAGACTGGCATAGCATCGGCCGTTGAGCTCACTTGGGGAGTGAATCATCGGGCAGAGGATCTTCCTCTCTGTCTCTCCTCTCTGTATATCCGCCTTTCCAATAAATAAATAATAAAAATAAATCTTAAAAAAAAAAAACAATTTGGCAGTCTTCAGTAGCATTCAGAGATGTCCATGTATGACATTAAATATATTTGGACTAGATATTTCAATGTGTCATCATACTCGAGCAATTTCAACAGGAAAAATATTTTTCTCACACTATTCCTAAATCAGTCCACCCAACTAGTGTCAGAGGAAGAGGGGATGCCTCTTACAACAATGTGCTTATTTATCTGAGAAATCTGAGAAGACTCTTACACTCACTGGTTCACTCCCCAGATGGCTGGGACTGGCCTGGGCCCAGCGCGGGGGACTCCATCCAGGGCACTGGCAAAGAGGACCTGCTGCCCCCATGGTCTGCACGACCAGCAGGAAGCTGGAATCTGCAGCTGGAGCTGGGAATCAAACCTTGGCAATCAGATATGGGACACGGGTGTCTTAACAACTAGGCTACGTGCCCATTCCCTCCGACTTCCTTAAGTGATTTAAAACAACAAACCTGAGGGTTTTGCTTCAATTACCTATGACTTGCATGTTTTCTATAAGCATGGCATTAACTATTTTTCTTAAAAAATAACTGTAATTCTTAAAAACGCTAACTAAACAGAAAACTGGTGAACTCATTTTTCAACCTCTGATTCTAGAAATAAAAACTACTAAGGGTCTCACTGACTGGCTCACTAGAAGGTAGGACTGTGTCGACTCTTCTCCTGTCATAACATGTTAGGTCAGGAGCTGGCGGCTTGCCTGGAGCCAAGGCACCAGCGTCCCACTCTGGCGTGACCCACACTGGCATGTCCCACACTGGCATGTCCCACACTGGCATGTCCCACACTGGCGTGACCCACTCTGGGCATGACCCACACTGGCATGTCCCACACTGGCATGTCCCACTCTGGCGTGACCCACTCTGGCGTGTCCCACTCTGGCATGACCCACTCTGGGCATGACCCACACTGGCATGTCCCACACTGGCATGTCCCACTCTGGCGTGACCCACTCTGGGCATGACCCACACTGGCATGTCCCACACTGGCATGTCCCACTCTGGCGTGTCCCACTCTGGCGTGACCCACTCTGGCGTGTCCCACTCTGGCATGACCCACTCTGGGCGTGACCCACACTGGCATGTCCCACGCGTGCGTGCCCCTGGCCGCCAACTCCAGCCTATCCTCAGGTGGCCCTAGGTGGCAGGGACGGCTGCAGCGGTTGGACTCCTGCAGCCACGTGGCACACCCAGCTGCCATTCTGGCTCTCAGCTCTAGCCATGCCCCGGCACTGCAGGCACACCACCGGAAGGGACCTCTCGTTGTCTCCTTCTGTCTCTCAAATCATTTTAAACCCTGCATCACACTGAGCAGGTCCTTGGTCCAATGGCCGAGATGCTGGCCGAGCTGTCCTCAGCCCTCTTCGAAGCATCTGGGTTCGTTTCCGGTGCTGGCCACACTTCCGATATGAATATTCTATCATTTACAGAACCTCGTGGAGACTAATTTCACATTTATAAAGCTTGATCCATCAATTTATAATAAACATATATGAACCACAATTATTTGCAGAGGTGTGTTGCAATGCCTGTGCTTATTTCAAAAGTACATGTCATTTAAGGACAAGCTACAAAATAAAACTTTCAAGATACTTTGTTCGTAAACATTCAAGAGAGACAACATTTACCTCAGCTAAGGTGATAAGGAGAGGATCGAACGGAAGCGTTTCAGGAGGACATTCCCACTGCAGTCGGTGTTTTACGGAACCATGTATCAACCTGGAACAAAGCAGTCCGTGGATGCAACAAGGAAAGCAGTGGTCATCTGGTCACCCAGGGCGCACTCTGCTCACGGTAAACCTGTCGGGGTTCCTCTGCAGCATCACGGAAGGCCGTGTGCTAAGACAGTACCAGGACATTCGAAAAACAGTCTAAAACTTCCTATTGTTCAGCAAAACTGGGAACTCCACATAAAGCAACCAACTGCTTTGGCATATTGCTATTTGTATTTTTTTTTAATATTTATTTATTTTTATTGAATAGGGAAGGTTTACAAAGAGGAGACAGAGAAAATAATCTTCCATCTGCTAGTTCTCTACCCAAGTGGCTGTCACGGCCAGAGCTGGTTAAGTTTGAACTCGGGAGCTTTTGGTCTCCCACGGGTGCAGGGTGCTAAGGTCTTGGACCATCCCGTACTGTTTTCCCAGGTCACAGGCAGGGAGCAGGACGGGAAGTGGAACAAACGGGTCATGATCTGGCGTCCACACAGACTCCCAGCACATGCAAGGAGAAGACTTTAGCCACTGGGCCACCGCGCTAGGCCCATTAGAACTGTAATCTTAACACATACATTCCACCTGATGGCTTTCAGACACAACAGGCAATGTATAGGAAAATCAGAAGCAAACAAAATACAGCAGAAAAAAGCAGTTCCCATGAACACAGATGCCATTCATTATTTGAAAGAAAATCTGATTTTATTCCTGTTAAAGAGAACAACACTGGACCAGGAAAGGAATGGGTCCTTCTGGGTTACAAAGGAAACCCTTTACCCGTAGGTGCTCACACAACAAGGAGGGGTCAGGGAACACCGACGGCTCTAAGACCTCCCTCAAGCCTGTGTCTCTCCCTCGCTCCTTTCAAGAGGCAGCCCGCCTCCAGGCTCTCCCTCTCCCTCTCGGGGAGGTGCTTACTCCTTCCCTCGTCTTTCCACATTCACCTGGTCACTTTGCAAACAAAACTCTCTCTGCAACCAAAAAAAGCAAAAACACAGAAAAGAAAAAGAAAATGGCAGCTCCTGAAGTAAGCTCTCCACCTTGTTTTTTAAAATAGTTTTTTTTCAAGGCATTACGGATATGCAATAAAGCACATACATAAATACACTCACTCCCTGACAATGGCCTCGTCATCACACTAACGTACTCACACTCCTCTGCAAGTCTCGACCTGCTAGCCCCCCTTTCAGTGTGTGTCCCCACAAATGCAAGAGGCCTCTATAATGTGGCTAACAGTCAAATGCTTTGAGGAAGAAGAAAACAGGGCTTCAATCAGAATCTAAGTTATAAAATGGTAATAGTTGCTTCTTAAGCTCATTTTTCATTGCAAAAATTTTTTTTCAATTTACTTGAAAGGCAGAATTTCACACGCAGAGTAGACAAGAAAGCAGTTTTCTGTGCGTTATTCACCCCTGACAGCCACAGTGGCCAGCAGCTAAGCCAGGTGAAGTGGAGCTTCTGCAGGTCTCCCGTGTGGGTACAGAGCTCCAAATCCTTGGGCCATCTTCCACGGCCTTCCTCGGAACGCCAGCAGGGAGCTGGCTGCATCAGCCGGGAGTCACACTAGCACCCGTATGTGATGGCCATGCTGCAGGTGAAGTTTAACGTGCTACACTACAACCCTGGCCCTGCAAAATCTTACAGCATGAAAAATGACACATCTTAAATTTGGGGGGAAATTTTGATTATTATTTCTAAAGTTAAATTTTCTATTATCTAGATAAGCTAAAACTGGAGATATACTAAAAATACAAAAGCTTAGTAGTAATAAATTTTAAAATATTGTTTTATATATACATATGTGTATGTGTTTTCTTCACAACAGTATCAATGTCTGCCAAGAAAGACAGTAAGAGTTATACCCAGCCAAGAGAGCTACAACATGGTACCGTGGGTTAAGCCATCACCGGAAAGGTGCCAGTCTGTGTCAGGCTACATGACCAATGCAGCTCCCTGCTAATGGCCTAGGAAAAGCAAACGTTGGCCCAAGGGTTTGGGTCCCTGCCACCCAGGTGGGGGACATTAGAATTCCTGCCTGCTGCCATCGGCCCAGCCAGTGCACTGTGTCTGTCCATGCACTGAAACCACCGATGCAGTATCCCTAGCTTTCATTCACTCTGTGACTTTCAAATAAACAAACCGTATTTAAAAAAGAAAGCTACATGTAATAATTAAGAAATAATTTCAGCAAACTGCCAACTTCCACTTTAAAAAGAATATTTTATGAGGCCCAGTGTGGTAGCCTAGTGGTTAAAGTCCTTGCTGGGATCCCAGATGACTACCAGTTCTAATCCCGGCAGCCCCTCTTCCCATCCAGCTCCCTGCTTGTGGCCTGGGAAAGCAGTCAAGGACGGCCCAAAGCTTTGGGACTCTGCACCCGCATGGGAGACCCAGAAGCTCTGGGCTCCAGCCATCACGGCCGCTTGGGGAGTGAATCATCAGACAGAAGATCTTCCTCTCTGTCTCTCCTCCTCTCTGTACATCTAATTTCTATAAAAATAAATCCTTAAAAAAAGAATATTTTACTAGCAACTTGTGAAAACTTGAGACTGCTGAAATTAAAAAGCAAAACAAAAAGGCCCATTCAGGATATGGCGCAACAGCCTAGTAGCTAAATCCTTGCCTTCCATCTGCCAGGTTCCCATATGAGTGTGGGTTCCTGTCCCAGCTGCCCCACTTCCCATCCAGCTCCCTGCTTGTGGCCTGGGAAAGCAGTAGAGGACGGCCCAAAGCCCTGGGACCCTGCTCCCGCGTGGGAGGTAGCTTCTGGCTCCAAGCCTCAGATCAGCTTACCTTGGGCCTTTGTAGGTACTCCAGGGAGAGAACCAGTGGACAGAAGATTTTTCTCTCTGTACATCTGCCTTTCGAATAAATGTTCTTTTAAAGGTGGCCCATTCAGGGCCAGCCCTGTGGTGAAGCAGGTAACATTACTGAGGCACTGTTAGCGTCCCATGCTGTCCAAACTAGCTCCCTGCTAACAGTCTGGAAAAGCAGAGGATGGCCCAAGTGCGTGGGACACTGCATCCATACAGCAGGCCACGAGAAAGTGCCCATCTTTGGATCAGTACAGTTCTACCTGCTACAGCCTTTCGGGGAGTGAACCCAAAGGTGAAAGATCTTTGTCTCCTCACTTCTTTCTCTCTCTCCCCCGACCTTTCCCTCTCTCTGTAACTCTCCCTTTCAAATAAGTAAATCCTAAAAAATAAAAAAAGGAGAGTCCATTCAATTTCTTGATTTGGTATTCACTGCTGCTTTTGGTAATGACATCTTAGAATCTGCCCTCTAACAATTTCATGGATTTCCACAACAGCCAGGGTGAATGTCACTTTTATTTCAACATCACAATAAAACTTAAAATACATTTAGATTCAATACTACATTGATTTTACTCAATTATTTTGAATATGGTCGATCAAAACTTGTATGGATTTTACCTGCAAGGAATACCTCCTTTCGAGTAGATAGCTGCAAACGCAGAAGGGGCTCGGGACTGCTCACCAAACTGAAATACAAAGAGAAGGATTCCATCACTTCTTAGTGATACCTGATCGATCCTAATCCCGCTGACGTCTTACCAATGGCCACGCCGACTTTCAGCCAGCCAAATTGGTACCAAAGGCATCACGCCTACTCAGCGACATACTGCGTGGTACTGTCAACCCTCTTGGTGGTGGCAGTAATGTGACTACCACGTTTTGTATAGTCCTTTTAAAACATATTTTTATTTGAAAGGCAGATTTTATAGACAGAAAAGGAGAGACATACAAAGAGAAAAAAAATCTTCAACTTGCTGATTCCCTCCCAAAATGCCCACAGAGGTCAGAGCTGAACTCGGCCGAAGCTAGGAGCTTACTCCAGGTCTCCCATGTGGGTGCAGGTTCCCAAGATCCTGGCCCATCCTCCACTGCTCTCCCAAGCCAAAAGCAGGAAGCTGGATCTGAAATGAAGCAGGTGGGACACACGCTGGCACTCATAAGGGATGCTGGAGCCACAGTCAGGGGATTAGCACGCAGCACCATTATGCTGGTCCCTTTTCATCCCCAACTTGTTTCTGAATGTCTGAGAGTGGCTGATGGCTTTTCCACCCTACCCTGACTGTGCCTTTCCAAGAGAGGGCTAAGGGAGCAGAGCTGAAGCACAGGGAAACCGAGTGTGCCTTCATTGACCAGCACATCCCCTACTTGCCTTCCAGCCAAGTACAAATGGTACACACAGATGGCCAGGGAATCTACATTGCTGCAAAACAGAATGATGTTTTCTTACACATTGAAAGATTAGGTAACAGAACTGAGAACGGAGCAAGAGCCTCACACACATGTATCTGGATTCATCTTCGATTATAATTTCTTGGGGCCGGTCCTTTGGCACAGTGTGTTAAACTGTACTGCTTACTGCAGAGCAGGTGTTTGAATCCAGCAGCTCTTTCGTATCCAGCTCCCTGCTAAGGTGCTTACGAAGGCAACTGATGGCCCAAGAACACGGACCCCGGCCACTTATGTGCCAGAAACAGATGAAATTCTAGCTCCTGGCTTCAGCCATATGAGGAGTAAAGCAGCAGGTGGGAGATCAAGCTTTCTCTCTCTCTCCCCTCTACGCCTTTACTGCTCTGCCTTTTCAACAAATCCATTCTGTCATTTCTCTCTTTGAGTGTTGCTGCATGTTACGACGAACGGATGAAGCCTACACCTGTTCTCACAGGTGATGGAAGACGGGCAACAGCAGCGACAGCTTCAGAACAGTTCACTAGCGATCCAAAGAGGATTTAGGCACAAAGAGTAAATTTGGGCACAGTTTTGTTTCCTGGGGCTGCTTCTGCGGTGCTCGTTAGGTCACAGCCCATGACAGTCCTACCCAGTGTCAGTTCCAGTCCTGTCTGCTCTGCTTCCGGCCCAGCTCCCTACTGCACACAGAAGGCACAGGGCATTTCGGAGCTCCTAGCTTCTGCCTGGCCCCGCCAAAGGCTGGCTGTCTCTCGCCACTCTCCCTTTCAAATGAATAAATGAAAGCAAATGCAAAAGTAAATCAAAAACCTTATTCTTCTTCCTTATGATTTATAACTACATGAAAAAATATTCCTGTTTTGGTTATTACATAGAACACAAACCGGGCTTTATAAATGAGCCCTCTCATTACAGTTTGGGTGCTGTATCTCCTACCTGCCCTTCCAACCCAAGTTTTCCCAGAGAAAAAAGGTTAATTCTAAACTGAACACATTAGGCCAGGCATCACATGGGCCTCATGTACAAGCATGGTGCAACTCGGGCACTTTTATGTGTACAAAAGTATAAACTGTTACTTTAAGGTAAAACAGGGGAAGACTATTGTTTGGCTGACTGGGGAAGCTAACTGAGACAATATCGAGGAATGGTCAGTCCTTTCTACACCCAAGCAAGTAGGTAAATTATCCTATGATGACTGAAAAGAAAATTTTTTCAATAAGGTAAAATAATAGAAACAGAAATTAAAGTTGATAGGTAATTTATGCTCCAAAACGGTAGTCACCAAATGGGACAGGACGTGCCCAACGGGTCCAGCTGGACGCCGTCCCGGGTCCTCACGCATCCCGTGTGCATCCCAGGACCTCAGCTCCTCACGTTGAGGCTTCCTCACTAGCTCAAAACCGGCAGATGGAAGTAATCCCAGACAGAACTGGGAACAACGCAACAGTGTGTTAACTGCCCATTCAGAAAACCTACTGAGCTGGTAACTCCTTTGATACTTACAGGGTTGATGGTTTTAGGGTTGAGTTTATCGCTAGGTCGAGGATGAGGCTTCCTGGCAGGCTCAGGAGGAGCGGCTGCTGAGGACCACCTGCCCTGGGGAACTGTGGCGCTGTGTTTCACTTGCACACCTGATGCCGTCCTCCGATCGCAGCTTCCTGGAAAAGGGAGAGCATCAACAACAAGAGGTCAGAGCAATCAAGTTCGCCCTGTACCAAGGTGCCATGGTGAAACTCGGCTGCCCAGTACCTGGTCCTCTGCTTCCCAGCTGTAAACCTCCAGGGTCTGCTCTCTGCATTACTTTCCTCTTCCGCCTGTGGTTAGATGAAATTCAATTTCAAAATTTGCTTGGAGGGGCACTCAATGTCCTTATAAAGATGCAAACACTGGAGGAACACTCGGGGCCACAGTCAGAAGAGCCGGGCTCTTGCCTGAGACGCTCCTGAACACGGACCTGCTCTCAGGACCCGCAGGGCCAGGCACACTGGCGGGTTTGGCTGTTTGATGTCAGCTTGCTGTGTCGCAGTGCCTGGTGCAAATCTCTACCACTCCATTCCCGATCCTGCTGCCTGCCAAGGTGCACTACAGGAAACAGCCAATGATTCCTCAAGTGCCCAAGTCGCCGCCACCTTCATGGGGCACCTAGACGGATTCCCTGACTCCGAGGTCAAGCCAGGACCAGCTCCGGCTATCACAGCTATTTGGGCACTGAACCAGGGAAAGAATCTTTATTTCTCTCTCCCTTCAACTAAGTTAAAAAGCAAGCAAAAAAAAAAAAAAAAAAGCCCACAAAAAACTAAAACAGTATCAAAAGCCAAGAGACAAAACAATTGTCAGACAAACTATCTAAAAAGACTTATGAGAAAATATCAAAGTAAGTCAATTTCAACAATTTTGAGAAGAGCAAAAACTAAAAACATCTTCCAGAAGACCTGGTGCAATTTTTTATCTTAGCTTGTCAAAACATACTGTTAGAAGCTCAAACTGCAGGGCCTGGTGTGATAGCCGAGTGGCTAAAAGTCCTCGCCTTGAATGAGTCAGGATCCTATATTGGAGCCAGTTTGTGTCCCGGCTGCTCCACTTCCCATCCAGCTCTCGGGCTGTGGCCTGGGAAAGCAGTTGAGGACCCCGCACTCACACGGGAGACCTGGAAGAGCTCCTGCCTTAGCTCACCTGTGTCCTTGCAGCACCTGGGGAGTGAACCAAAGAATGGAAGATCCTTCTGCCTCTCTTTCTCTCTGTAAATCTGTCTTTCCCATAAAAATAAATAAAATCTGGGCCCAGCGCAGTGGCGCAGTGGTTAAGGTCCTCGCCTTCCACACCCGGGATCCCATATGGGCGCCGGTTCTAATCCCGGCAGCCCCGCTTCCCTTCCAGCTCCCTGCCTGTGGCCTGGGAAAGCAGTCGAGGACGGCCCAAAGCTTTGGGACCCTGCACCCGCGTGGGAGACCTGGAAGAGGCTCCTGGCTTCGGATTGGCATAGCATCGGCCTTTGCAGTCACTTGGGGAGTGAATCATCGGATGGAAGATCTTCCTCTCTGTCTCTCCTCTCTGTATATCCGCCTTTCCAATAAATAAATAATAAAAATAAATCTTTAAAATAAATAAATAAATAAATAAAATCTTAAAAAAAAAAAAAAAAGCAGAAGCAGCAGCTCCAACTGTAATCAGGCCACATCAGAACACAAAGACTGGATGTCTGGGCCCGGCGCGGTGGCGCAAGTGGTTAAAGGTCCTCACCTTGCCGCCCGGGATCCCATATGGGCGCCGGTTCTAATCCCGGCAGCCCCGCTTCCCTTCCAGCTCCCTGCCTGTGGCCTGGGAAAGCAGTCGAGGACGGCCCAAAGCTTTGGGAACCTGCACCCGCGTGGGAGACCCGGAAGAGGCTCCTGGCTTCGGATCGGCATAGCATCGGCCCGTTGCGCTCACTTGGGGAGTGAATCATCGGATGGAAGATCTTCCTCTCTGTCTCTCCTCTCTGTATATCTGCCTTTCCAATGAAAAAATAATAAAAATAAATCTTTAAAAAAAAAAAACAAAGACTGGATGTCTGAACGGCGCGTCTGGCATGCCCCGGGTCTCACCTGACCTCCAACCTCCTCACCTGTTACCGTGTGCTGGTCAACTCTGACCCGTCCAGCAACCTAGCCGACTGTTGTGTAACGTACTTCAAGCTTCCTAAGTTGAGCACATCTTTCTGTGGCTGTCACACTCACACTATGAATCCTTTGCTGCTTTGTTAGGCATCATACCGCCAGACTCCTGCTCTTCCTTCGCTTTTTTACACTCAATCCTACTGAGAGTCTGAACGGCTGATGAGGTTCAAAGAACTGTGGGGCTTAGGGCTGGATGCGCACCTTTGCTGCACCAGTCGCAGGGTTTCATGAACACAGGTGACTCATTCAATCTCCAGCCTTACCTCCTGGCCTATTGAAATGGGCGATACTGCAAGCCTGCCGTTGAGTACACAAGGTAACACATCAAAGCCTTCACACAGCGTGTGTCAACTCACTTCCGCCTTCCATAGGCCTCCCTTTTCTACTAAACGCAGGGCTCCAGTCCACACCAACATTTCCAACCAAATGATGTCTAAACATGGGTCCCCAGCAAGCAAAACGCCCACTGCCTGCCCGTATCTGCAGGCCTCGCTCCTCTCTACTTCCTCTGCAGCCTTTCCTGACCTGAGTCCGGAAGGGACACGCCAGTAGCACCCCACCTGGCTTCCTCCTTCCTTCTACAGGATTACTTTGCTTTCCTGCCCCCGCAACACGGCAGTTATTCTTGCATCAGCACACTTTCCATTCCGTGCCATGACAGTCACTGTGACATCTTAAGACAGCATGGTCCTCTTCCACTTTCACAACAAGTTCTCAGACATCGGAGGACGCCACCTCTCAACTCCTTCGTTTCCTCTTCAGGATGAACAGCGATCTCTCCAATGACATCATTTCCATCTATCTGACAAATGACACATCTTCAAAGGGTGGACAAAGTGTCATGCAACAAAATTTAGTTAGACGCTTCAAACTAAATGTAGCAAAGCACAAGACAGCCAGGCTGAATCCCAGACTACTCTGCACACACATTTTGAATTTCCCCAATCTGAACTGGCATCCCTTTATCACCCCGCTGCCAGCAGCTGCTCTACTTCTCAATGCCACAGCTCACCTCTACCCCGACGTTATTTCCTAATAATGCAGTCATTAAACATCTCATTAAATTTGTTAAACAATATTCTGAAACAAATGGGAAAAGGTTAAACGTTAACCTGTTGCTGCACTTCCAGGCTCTTTGCACAGGCATGTTCTAGCATGTTCTAGCATGTTCTAGCGTCTAGTGCAGATCCTGAAGAGGGAATGTTGCAGAGCCTCAGTCTCCGTCTCTAAAGTGGAGGCCACTCAGCACGGCCACCTTTCAGTGACAACGAAGACTACTTCGGTGTCTGCATGGGGCGCATGCTGAGTTGCAGCTTTCGCCAGCTGAGCATCCCTAACTCAAAAGCGCAGAATCAGAAATGCTATTGATGCCAGAGTGGGAAAGTACACACATCGTGAATGCTGGCTTTAGAAAAACAGTACTCTATAAAATGGCCTTTAGGTCATATGTGTATGAAACATACACCGTTTCTGTGCATAAGAACTATCTATGCCCAAGATACATTAATATACATGTGCAAATATGCCAATGCATTTAAAAATTCAAAATCGGAAACACTTCTGGTTCCAATCATTTCAAATCCTTTACCCTGTTTTTTTCTGGGTTTTTTTTGACACTAGTTTTTACTAGTTGACTGATGTAGTGAAATGTGTCCCTCTTTTTGGAAAGTCTGGTTTAACATAAACCTGGTGATCCAATTTAAGGTAAACTTCCTCTGACACTATAGTTCTCAGTGATGAGACACCCCCGAATCCAGCCGCCTACAAACAGGAAAAGAACAGCTAGCCACATGATTCACACTTCGCAGCCGCCCCCACCAATTCTACAACTAACTTCTTTTCCTTTGTGTTCCCATAATATACGGATGAGACAGGGCGCGCTGTACTCCCAATGAGCTCAAAACGTCACTAAGATTTTCCGCTTGAAGACTTGAGCTCAAAGTGGGTCTCCAACGTTTCTGCCAACCCTGGCCAGGTTTTACGTGGAACATACTGATGTTACCCGTGACAAATGTGTACACACGGATGACGCAGGTATTTCTATGTCCTCTTCCAAGCACCCTAAAGAGCTTCTTTCCAAAACCACGTTTCCACCTGTTCAAATCATCCTTCTTCACCTTAAAGACAAATGAGGTACACCTTTCTTTTACAAACAAGACCCACCTGGGGACATATCCCCCGGCAGCTGGCCTGGACACAAGCTGTCCATAGAGGGAGGAGGTCCCCCTCACACTCACAGCATCTCGGTGGGGTCAAGGCTTAGTGCAAGGTAGCAAGGCACTACTTTAGGTTACAAATATTATTCTGGGGCACCCCTTCTGCTTTACGAAACCAGATTCTCAATCGACGCTGGCCCCCACGGATGCCCTGCACCCATTACACCTGCCACAGCGTCAGACCACAAACAAGGCGGACAGGGGCCCCATCCTGGGACCCACACTGCTCCCCGGGGCTTTCTAGCACGGAGGTGCGTGTCCAGGGACCTCAGGCTGCCCAGCACGGCTTTGGAAAGCGTTGTCTCCGCCGGGGTCTTCCCTGTCCTGCTTCTGCGACCACCACACAAACGGCTGGCTATCTTCTCAAGAGCTGAGCGGTGAGTGCTCCTAAGCCGTAATTCTGCATCTACAAAGTTTCCAAAGCCTAACCGGCGTTCCCTACCCCCAAAAAAGATGAATTGCACCTCAAGCTTCTGCAGTTTCCAAATTCCAGAGACCCAAGTCCATAGCCACTTAGTTTTTCGTTTTGTTTTTTTTTTTTTTTTAACCTTAGAGAACCTCAAAATCTTCGTTCCGCCTTCCGAACAACTTGAACACCTGCTACCACATCCCTAGCTCCCCCGGGGCAGAGCAAGAGGAGGAGGAAGACAGGAAGAGCACAGGAGAAGGCGGCGGCTGGCCTCCATGAAGAGGGACGAGGGTTACTCTCGGCCCAGGCCAGAAGCCGAGACACGGGCTGGCTGCTGGGCTAACTGGGTCCGGAGGGCGCGGCACGGGCTGCGAACCTCCACTTCACTAACCGCGGGAAGGCCGGCGGGGCCCGCGGCGCCGGGAACCCCTTCCTACCCGCTCTGTCCGCCGCGACCTGCACCCCACGGGCAGCTCTGCCCAGCTCCCCGCCGGCCAACAGCCACCGCTCCGAGCTCCGGCCCCGG